TATTCCCTTCCTGGGTTCCTGAAGATACTTTTTCTTCAGCTTGTTCATAGTCTGTATTAAGAGATGGTATCCTCCAGGTTTACAATAAACCCCCTGCTTTATATCTTCTTCTAAAGAATGGAAGATATCCTTAAGTAAAGCTGAGCAGCGATCCAATGATGCTTTCACATTATCTTTACAAAAGTCATCTCGCCTTTTTTCTAGCCGGTCCTTTAATGTGAAAATAGAATGTAGAAAGAGTATGGAAAAAATGTTAGCTTGACCTCAGCATTTTGGAAAGGCTTCTCAAAAACCAGTCTGTGACCCTGTAAAAACTTATAGGCATCTCAGCAGGACCACATCTTTCCTCCTGATCTTGTCTTCCTATTGAAGACCCTTTCTCCTTGGAGGTGAAGTTCATGGCAGAGATTTCTGGCTTTATGTTAGCATTGATGCTACCCATCTGCTGGTCATAGTGGGCCATGGCCTTTTTCACTGCAGCTGAGTTCTCTATCTGGGTTGAGGCCAGGACTGTGTTCTCTCTGTAGGGCAGGACCCCACTTCTGATGGCATTGACATAGGTCCGGACTAGGGTCTCTAGTCCCACAAATACACCTTTAGAAAGAAACTCCTGCTTTTCACATTGGACCAGCAATTGCATTTGGAAGAAATGTAGCTCAATGTAAGCTTGCTCAAGATCACTAAGACTACATTTTTCTTTGCGTTTGGCTATAATATGAAATTGGTCTGATAACAGCAAGCATGTAACTTGATGAAAAGCTTTGATTGTTTCCTGCATTCATTTAATTAAATTATGAGAAATAGTATTAGTTTATGCATGAAAGGAAAAAAAATTCAAACTTTAAGTCAATCATAATAAAATTGGTTTTTCTTACAATAATAATGACAAATAGTGGTTTTTGTCATTTTGAAATCTAGTAAGAATTCCTTATCTCATGATAAATACCCATTTTATTTTCTAGTAGTACTTTGCTTTCTGAGACCTTAATCCATATACACATATGAAAAAAAATTACCCCTAATTCCTTTTGAAATAAATGGTGTACATCCTTGAAGGAATTCTTCATGAAGACTTCAATGGCCTCTTTCTCACTGGCCATGTGCAGGTCCAGGAGCTCTTGGAGGGTTTCTGTGGGTAGCTGAACCTTCTTGGCCATCTGCTGGTCATAGTGGGCCATGGCCTTTTTCACTGCAGCCGAGTTCTCTATTTGGGCCAAGGCCAGGACTGCGTTCTCCATGCAGGGCAGGTCCCCACTGCTGATGGTATTGACATAGGTCAGTACCAGAGTCTCCAGCCCTACAAATAGAGAACAAAAGATAATGTTTGTTGTAGGTGAGGTGAGGAAAAAGTCCATCCTCTATAAATCTGATGATATCTCTCAACACTCTTTTGGCTCACAGCATCTGTGTCCTTAGCATCACCTGGAAGTTTGCTGGAAATGCAGACTCTCAGCCTCTGTTCCAGATCATCTAAATTAAATTCTTCTCTGGCGAGATCCTGAGTCATATGGACACATATCAAACAGGAAGAACCTCTGTTGTAGGCACCATAGACCTGTGTTTATTGAGTGCATGTGTTTACCCCTAAGCACCGTTAGTATAGGAAATGTACCTCTCATTTATGTCTCTATCATCAGTTCTGCTCTGGGGTAAGCATTTAAAAAATCAATATTTGTGAAACAATTAAAAAGAAGACCTCTGCCCTGGCCAGGTGTCTCTGTTGGTTGGAGCATCATCCCATGCACCAAAAAGTTGTGGGTTTTATTCCTGGTCAGGGCACACACATAGGTTGTGGGTTCAATCCCCAGTTGGGGTGCATGCAGGAGGCAACTGAGTAATGTTTTTCTCTCACATCGATGTTTCTCTCTCCCTCTCAAATTCATGGGAAAACATCCTTGTGTGAGGATTAAAGATTAGAAACAAATTTTAAAAGGAGTCCTCCATTTTATTTATTCTAGCCGAACACTGTCCAAGAGAACTTTCTGTGATGATGGTCATGTGCTATATGTGCTATCCAATATTGGAACCACTAGCCATGTAATCAGAATTGTTAATTTTCTTTAATTCTAATTAATCTACATGTAATTTTAGTTAAATGTAGGTACTACATTTGTCTAGTAGCTATTATATGGGACTAGAAGCCTAGTGAATGAAATTTATGCACAGGGGGTGGTTGGAGGGGTGTCCCTTAGCCCAGCCTGCACACTCTCCAACCTTGTGGGATCGGGACTAAACCGGAAGTTGGATATCCTTCTTACAATCCAGGACTGCTGGCTCCTAACTACTCACCTGCCTGCCTGCCAGCCTGATTGCCCCCTAACCTCTCCTGTGCTGGCCTGATTGATGCTTAACTGCTCCCTTGCTAGCATGATTGCCTGTTCCTGCCCTCCTCTGCAGTCCTGGTAACACCCAACTGCCCTCCCCTGCTGGCCATCATGTGGCAGCTATCTTGTGGCAGCCATCTTTAGCACATATCTTGTGGTAGATATCTTGTGGTGGCCATATTGTGATGACATGTTGGCGGCCATCTTGTGATGATGTCGCGCAAGAGCATGATGTACCTACTCTTTTATTAGTACAGGTCCAGCTTATTAGGGCAATTTTAACCAATAGAGCTTTTTTATTTGTCTTTTTCTATGTTTTCTCATCCATAAAATCTGATTAATAAAGTCTGTTAGAAATGTTGTGTCATCTGGAATGTACCACAGTAACAGTAGATTTGCACTTTTCAGAGATGAAACTAGGTGGATGCTATTCCACCTTTCTTTAGTCTTGACAGTGAGAGTAATGACCGGGAAGTGGACTCACGGGGTCCATTGACTTGGATGCCTCCTGAAAGAGTTTTGACTTTGGAATTGCTAAAGATGTAGGAACAGAAGTCAGCAGCTTCTTTTACGAATTTGGGGTTCAGCTCATCATCATGCATTGTCTCCAGTTGGCATAGATTCTCCAAAAGAGTGGGCTGACAAAAGATAAAGCATTTCTTCTTTGGGAAGAACTTTCGGATACAAAGTCGGGGCTGGTTAAAATTTTTTTCTTTAGGACTGGTACCTGGAGAAAGATAATAAAAAATGGCTTTGCTTAATATATGGGGTGGAAACTTTTTCTGTAAACGGCCAAATGGTAAATATATTAGGCTTTGCAGGGCAGGTGGTTTCTTTTCCAAGTATTCAATTCTGCTATTATAGCATGAGAGCAGCATGGACAATCTACGTAGTATTCATCCAGTAAAACCTATTTGTAGGATAGCTGGCAGGCTGTATTGGCCATCATTTACCTGTGGGCCATAGTTTGCAAACCCCTGGCCTAGTTCATTGTTAAGCTTTAATCTATTTTCTTTAAATAAATGCCCATTCTACTCCATATTCTTTGGCGAATTACAGCATCACAAGCCTTAGCCAGGAAGATAAAAATCAATCAGATCACAGTGCAGGGAAGGTGAAAGAAAAAGAAACTTGTCCTTGGAAGAGGGGAGAAGATAATTCAAAATCAAATCTATGAACTTAGATATTAAACAAGCATTAATTCTTAGAACTAGGCAGCATAGAAGAAGTAGAAAACTATACATGTTAAAACACTAAATATATACTAATTAAGGAGTAATATGCTAATTAGACCAGGAGACTTTCCAGGAGACTGGCCAGGAAGGGCAGTAGAGAGCCATGAGGCCAGCAGGGGAGGGTAGTTGGGGGCCATGAGGCCTGTAGGGGAGGGCAACCGGGGGCCATCAGGCCAGCAAGGGAGGATAGTTGTGGGTCATGATGCTGGCAGAGAAGGGCTGTTGAAGGTGAGTAGGCTGTGAGGGGCGCAGGGGGGTGCAAATAAGCCAGTGTGGGGTGCATTTGGGGGCAAACAGGCTGGCATGTAGAGTGGTTAGGTGCAATCAGTAGGCAGGCAGGTGAGCAGTTAGGAGCCAGCAGTCCCAGATTGTGAGAGGGATGTCCGACTGCCAGTTTAGGCCCGATCAAACAGAGCCTAAACTGGCAGTCGGACATCTCCTGAGGGGTCCTAGATTAGAGAGCATGAAGGCCGGGCTGAGGGACACCCCTCCACCCCTCCACACCCTGTGCATGAATTTCGTGCATCGGGCCACTAGTAGAAAAATAAAAGATGATGGTTGCTAATGCCTTGTGATTCCCAATAATCAGTTCTCAGTCCCCTTTACCTTGCTTGAGTTTGAGTGAATTCTCCAGGTACTCATCTGCTGAGATGGGTTGCCCATCTATTTCCAATTTTAGGAAAAAATCCCTCAGTGTCCACACAAAATCTGGAAAGAAGCTCACAAAGTCAGCTGAATCCTCAACCTCATTTGCATCAGGTGAAGATTTTGCCCTTATTTTATCTGTCAGCTCTGTCACATAGCTGAGTAGCAAACTAAGGAAAAATGGTGTAAAAGAACAGTGCCCTCATCCCATATTAGTCCCACATATTCTAAACCTTTGTTTTGGCTTTGCTTCTAACTCAAGTGTTAATTCTTCCTGCCCTTGAATTGTTTTTCATACTTTCTCTGTTTGCACTTGATTCACCAGGATTCACCTTCAGGGAGCTGGTATTTAGGTACTAGTTTCACCTCTGATTTTGATGCTGTTCTGGACCACAAAAAGGATACTGCAGTCCGTCCATGGCCTGCTGGTTTATGGTCCCCATGCTGTTGTACACAAAGGTGCTGCTCAGCAGTATTGCTAGGGCAAAGATCCAGGAGTCATTTTGGTTGTCACCCTGGAAATCAGAACACATTTGGGCCAGGATTATGTTTTGTTCTCATGGCACTTTCCAGATCAGCAGTCGTAAACGGATGCTTATTTAGTGGAGTGGCTTTTTTTAGATTAATGTCTTATAAGAGGAAAACAAATCCAAATGAAAATGATTGTTTGTAAGGCTTATACTTTGACTAGTCTTCTGATTAGTATTTTTGGTTATACTGATTCTCACTAGGTCCTCTTATGATGATTGACAGATAATTGCAAAACAGACAGTCCAGATTGGTGGGCACTCTAAAGCCTTCAATATAATTTAATTTTCTCTATGTTTTCACAGAAAAATTGACTTATGTAACAGTAATAATACTTATAGCTATTTTATCTAGTCATTATTATTCACCTAACACTTTCTGTTCTTATTAAATAGTTAAAACAACACTATGAGGCAAATATTGACCTTTTGCATTGGTTATACAGTTCTGAAAGCTGAGGTTAAAAGAAATGAAATAATTTGCTAAGGCAACTGTGTTAATAACAGGGTTTAAATTTAAACTTCAGTTTAGGAATTCTGAACATTAATCCTTAACTAATGTTCTCTGAAGGTAGGACTCATGATTGATTTTGTTTGTGGTACCTTTATGCATCAGTGTTAACTGGATTAGTTATTGACTCTTGTTAATAATTAGAATACGAACTAATGAGCACTATGCTCTTCTAGGACTCTTCCTTATATTTCCATCATTCCTGACTGCAAAACTTGGTCTCTTAGCACATAATCAGAAATGAAAAAGACACTTAAAGTTTACTGTCAGCTCTTATTTGAATAAAAATTAAAATAATAATAATAAAATTTTTTTTTAAAAAAGAAAAAGTATTAAATAGTGTATATAATACCCAGAAATGAAGGGATTGTCTCCAAATTGAATCTTTAATGCTTACCTTCTCTACATCTCCCAGCCCTTCAGTGTCAAGCAGAACTAAAGTGTAGTTTGGTTTCTTAGGGTGACGCATACACCACATCCAGATACCTTTGGTGTGAGACTGAACCGAGGAGCCTATAGAGAAGCCTTCAGCGGAAGAGGAGAGAGAGGGAGTGGAGTTTTCATAGCAGATGTGTCTTAAAATGGAGATAAACATGAACATAATCAAGGTTACAGGAGACCACAGCCAGTAGCTTGGCTGGCATGGCTCAGAGGTTGAGCGTCGACCTAAGAACAAGGAGATCATGGTTCGACTACGGGGCAGGGCACATGCCCTGGTTATGGGCTCAATCCCCAGTTGGGATGAGCAGGAGGCAGCCAATCAATGATTCTCTCTTATCACTGATGTTTCCAACTCTCTCTTCCTCTGCCTTCCACTCTGAAATCAATAAAAATACATTTAAAAAAAAAAACCCAACTACAATCAGTATTGATTTTATAGAGAAACAGGAAAATTCCAATATCCAATACATAAAAACATCCAACACATTTTATTATAAAAACATTAACATATTAGGACTAGAAGTAAACTAACTCAACGTAATAAAAGCCATATATGAAAATCCTTTAGCCAGCATTACACTCAATGGTGCAAGATAGAAAGCTTTCCTTCTACAAAATTACCCAAATGAGTTCAAAGACCTACATGTAAGAGCTAAAACTATAAACTTCATAGAAGTAAACATAGGGGGAAAGTTTTATAACATTGACTTTGGAATGATTTCTTGGATATGACACCAAAAGCATAAACAATGAAAAAAAAATAGATAAGAGGGATTCAAAATGAAAACTTTTTGGGTCAAAGGATACTATTGACAGAGTTTCAAAGGAATCCTATGGAACGGGGGAAAATATTTCTCAGTTAAGGGATTGGTATCCAGAATATATAAAGAAGTCCTGCAATGCAACCCCAGAATACAAAAAAAACCAATTACTAGTAAAAATTGAGCCAAGGACTTCAATAGACATTTCCTTAATGAAAATACGCAAATAACCAATAAACACATAACAAGATAATTAACAGCATTAGCTATCGAGTAAATACAAATCAAAAGCACACTGATATACTATTTCACACCCATTAGGATGATCACTATCAAAAAATCAAAATAACAGCCTGGCCAGTGTGGCTGGTGGTTGAGTACTGACCTATGAACCAGGAGGTTATGGTTCAATTCCCAGCCTGTGTTTGCTGTGAGCTTGATCCCCAGTGTGGGTTGTGCATGAGGCAGACTATCAATGATTCTCTCACATTATTAATCTCTCTCTCTCTCTCTCTCTCTCTTCCTTACTCTCTCTCTCTCTCTCCCCCTCCCTGTCTGAAGTCAATAAAAACAAAAAAACAACAACAAAAACCACCACACACACAACCAAATAAAAGTTATTGGCAAGATTGTGGAGAAATTAGAATCCTGGAAAATGGTAGAGTTGCTGTGGGACATGATATGGCGATTCTTTAAAAAATTAAACATAGAATTCTAGGAAAAGAATATAAATTATGCTTTTAAAAGGGAAATTAAGGAAAGTGGGAAGAGACAGTGAGTTGACTCTTTGAGACCACAATAAGGTAAGAGCATCATGGTAGATTAAAAGCTCGCTTTAAAAATTCCTCCCCACCTCTACCCTGCTCTTCCTGTAGCACCATACTCAAAGCTGGGAGTGTGGGGAGACAAAAGGGATCTGGCATAGCTTAGCTGGTGCCCCTCACCTTTTTGCTGCCCAGCCAGCTTGTTCATCAGGTAGGATTTGCCTGTGCGGTAGAGACCCACAATGGCCACCACCACAACAGGCTGTGTAATGGCAGACAAGATCTTCAAAGCTTCTGGATTAACCACTAGTTGGGTGTTAGTGTTCTCAATGAGGCACACCGGGCCTGGCATCTGGATGTGTGAGGCCATTTCCAGGGTGTTACCTTATCTGCAAGCAAGGGGATGGGATGGATTAGAATTTCCATTCTAAATAGATCAAGAACTTTCACCAGGTTATTTTGATCCAGAATGTAGAGTCATAAAATTCCCCAATGTGGCCAAAAGTTCTGTGTCAGCAGTGAGATGGATGAGGGGAAGATTTGTATTCTTTTAGCAAGTTACAGAAGTGCAATTGAAGTAGTCCATTAAAAAAAAATTGGTATGACAAGGACATCAACATTTAACCACTTTCATGAACAAAATTTTTAATTTACCATAGAAAACTTCTTTTTAGATTCTCATTAAAATTTTCAGACTAGAACCTGACTGGTGTGACTCAGTAGTTGAGCGTGGGCCCATGAACTAGGAGGTCAGGTCTCAATTCCAGGTGAGGGTACATGCCTGGGTTGCAAGTTGTCCCCAGTAGGGGATGCATAGGATGCAACTAATCAATGTTTCTCTCTCATTATTGATGTTACCATCTCTCTGTCTCCCTCCCTCTCTCTAAAAATCAATGAAAATATATAAAAAGATTTATTTTCTGTACATTAGATATAAAATAGAATAGGGTTTAGAGAGTAGTTTACATCCGGCCATGTATAAGAAATTTAATATTTATTTGTTAATTAATTTTACTATAAATACCGACTTTTGGGAATAAATGTTTCATCATTAGATGTATGCTCTTTGGATAATTTTCATAGTTTTTTTTTGTTTGTTTGTTAATCCTCACTGGAGGGTATTTTCCATTTATTTTTAGGGAGAGTGGTCGTGGGAATCGGGGGGGGGGGGGGCAGTGAGACAGAGAGAGAGAAACATCTATTTGAAACATATACTTAGATTGGTTGCCTCCTGCACTTGTCCCACCACAATCATTCAACCACCCTTCAATCCACCGACACTCTAACTGCTGTTCAAAAACAGGCAGGACATTTTTCACAGATTTGAAATGTGTTTTTTCTACTAGTTGTGCTTATTTTTCAGAAGTGAGGGTTCACAGAACTGTTTATACTGTTATTCGGGAAGCGGAACCAATATAACTTACATTTGCAAATTTTATATATATGTATGACTATAGGAAAAACAGGACTAGAGACTTGCCCAAAGCCTTGATATGGGCTTGTGCAAGCAAGGGGCCCTATACTTCAACTTCATTAGCTTCACAAAAAATTAGCCTCCAACTAAAAGGGGGTAAGACTGCACACTTGTAAATACTGAATGTTGCCAAAAATCATGTTTGTGTATATATGTGTGTGGTGTAAGGGAACAAAAGACTATGAAATATGGATTAAAAGATCAGGAGGCAGATCAAGGGAGCCTATGTTTTTCAGTGAAAATATATTTCTAGTCATACACTTGTAGGCATTCTGTTTTGTTCTGTTTTTCCATTAGGTTGAGGAGAAGGAGAAGCAGGAAGCAGACAGGAGGGGAGGAAACTGGGGAGAGAGAGGGAGAGGTAGAGCTGTAAGGAGGGAGAGAGAGGGTTGTCTGAGAAGCAGGTGATGAGTAAAGTTCATGCCAAGCCAAGGAATTCAGAAGCAGTTTCCAGAAAGCAAGAACAAACTTGCTTGAGAGCATAGATAAGTCAGGTATACAAAAGTTGGCTTCAGCAATGCAGGTTTCTTAAAGAGAAAACTTTGTAGTACAGTAGTGGGGCCAAATTCTACTTGTAAGGGGTAAGAAAGAAGTTGGCCCTAAGAAATTGGATCTGGTTGATTGGAACTATTTTTTGTTTTATTTTATTTTAAAAAAATTGTCATTTTAAAATTACAGTTGACAATTAATATTATATGAGTTTCAGTGTACTACATAGTTGTTAGACATTTGTATACCTTAAAAGGATCCCTTCTATGGGTCTACGTGTCAGCATACATAATTATAACAACATCTGAGGCCCGGTGCACGAATTTGTGCGTGGGTGGGGTCCCTCAGCCTGGCAGGCAATAGGGACCAATCGGAGAGTCTCGCCCAGTCCCAATTGGGGCCAATTGGGGCCAGCTGGTCCAGGTAGGGGTCCGGGAGGTTGGCTGGATTGGGGTTGAGGAGCTGCAGGAGGTTGGCCACCAAGCCAGGGGAGGGGGAACAGGAGGTTGGTAAGCTGCAGGAGGTTGGCTGGGGGAGCACACTGACCACCAGGGGGCATCTCCTGCATTTTGCCTCTGCCCCATGGTGGTCACAGCACATCATAGCAACTAGTTGTTTTACTTGTTCTGCTGTAATGGTTGCTTAGGCTTTTATTATGTGGATTATTGGTCAGGTGCATGAAGTTAGTGCACATAAAAAATGGGATTAATTAGAGGAAATATTTTAATATTGCTATTTGCCCTTTATCTATAATAGAAGTGTCAGAGATGAAAGAAAATTAGTAAAATGTATATGAAAATCTTCCCTCTATCAGAGTCTGGGGCACGCCATCAGACCCAGAGCCAAGTCCCCACCAATCAGGGGCACCTTAAAATGGTGCGAGAAAAAGACCCAGCTAGCCCCACATCCATTGGGCAAGATCCAGACCTGGCTGGCCCCACCCTTGTCAAAGCTGGGCAGGGGTTGCAGCCTCAGGTCCTCCAGCACACCCTCAGGTCCCCTGGACTGGTGCTGGGGTGGGGAAGGTAACATGAGGTCCCTTGGCCTGTTGCCAGGGAGGGAGGCACAGCCTGAGGTCTCCCATGAAGCCCTTTGGGGGGGGGGAGCATGGCCTGAGGTCCCTGGCCCAGCACCAGGGTGGGGGGCACAACCTTAGGTCCCCAAGCTTGGTGCTGGGGCAGAGGGCACACCTTGAGGTCCCCCGTCAAGCCCCACTGGGTGGGGGCCACAGCCTGATGTCACCTGTCAATCCCTGCCGGGCAGCGGGCACAGCCTCAGGTCTCCCATCAAAGCCCTGCCGGGCGGGGGGCAAGTCCTCAGGTCCCCCGGCCTGTCGCTGGGTGGAGGAGCACAGCCTGAGGTCCCCCGTCATGCTTCACTGGACAGGGGGGTGCAGCCTCAGATCCGTTATGGGAATGCAGCCTCCACTGTGAGTATAGCCATCTTGTGTTACAGAAACCCTGTCTTCGCTGTGGGCACCCACGTCTTTGTGATGGCATGATGGTCAATTTGCATATTCCCTCTTTATTATATAGGATTATTGGCTATATTCCCTAGGCTTTACTTTACATCCCTGTGACTGTTATAACTGCCAATTTGTATTTCTTAATCCCTTCCCCATTTTCACCAGCCCCCATCCTTCCTCACATCCAGCAAACAGAACCTGAGTTACTTTTAAGTGAGTCATCCACTTTGAAACCAAGCTCATCTATATGACTAAAATGTATGGTGTTTTTGTGAATCTTCATTTTTCACTCTGAGTTTCAGGTATTTTTTTCTTCTTTTTTAACAGTGTCAGATGGCTGTTTATGCTGCATCTCATTTTCTATGCTTCTTTCTCATGAAAATAGCATATCTGTAGCCCTTTCATTGTGTCAGCTTCAGTCAGATCAGAATTGTCCAAGTTCCATCAAGACAATGGTAATTTAACTGTGTCTACAGCCAACACAGTGTTGGCAAAGAGAAAGACAATTGTAATGCATTTCAAACTCTGAGCTTAGCCCCATGTCTGCTGCTGCCTAATTCCTCCAAGCACAGTAGTGACACTTAGGGATGCGCTGCCACCTGATATCACTGGGATTGCACCTCACCGCCTGTCCCACATGGGCTCTGCTGCAACCTATCCTCATGCTCATCGTTCTTTGGAAAATGAACTGACCCTTATACATACCTCCCACCTGCCCCAACCTTACCCTGGACTCCATTTCTCAGAGTACAGTCCTTTAGAGGTGGAGAGAAAGCTGCTTTGATGAGAAAATAAAGTTCTTACCTGTTTTTTCCCCTCAGTGTTGGTTGCAGTGGTTTGTTACTTCTCTGTCTTTCACTGGGTGCTTGGGCTTTTATTTAAACTCCGATGTGACGTGGCTGTCCTGACTTCCTAAAGTACTTTGCTAGAAATGAAGCATTTAGAGTAATGTGAAATTGAAAGCACTGAGGAAAAAGCAGTGACTCAACAACCATAAAAGGAATTTCTGAAAGCTATGCAAATGGAGGGTACATGGATTTTATAGGATTTCTTATCTAGTTCAGGACAGGCCAGCAGAGGACATTTGGCTCAGGCGGACTAACTAGAAAATCCCAAAGGAGAAAGTGGCCCCAGCCTCATTTCATGGAACTACATGAAATGTAGTTCCCCATCTGGCTCAACAGGAGGGAGTCCCACTGAGGGCGCGACAGCAGGCCAAAAAATAACGAAGGCATCTTATAGCCCACAGCCTCAAGGGCCAGCACTAATAGGGTTGAAGGACGATGGACTCCATGTAATCAGACTAGAACACTTATATCCCCCAGCCTCCGCCCTTGCAGTTTTGCACATAAAATTCAACCCTGAGGATAGCGGAGACTGCGTGCTAACCTTCCCTGGTTGTGGCTCCATCCCCTCATTCCTTCTGATAAATTTGCCTCCTGCTTGCTTGCTGTGTCTGCCTAATTCCTTGAATGACTCTAATCTTACAGTTCAGTATGACAAAAGCTCCATTGCTGGTTCCTGGTGCATGGAGTTGACCAGATATGGCTCCCTCTTCCCTCTTTCAAGCAGGGTTAGGTATGTCTCTGGGAGAGGCAGGCCACCATATTTCTCATCCCCTCCAACACTGAGTTGCACACACTGGAGGCTGGGGCTCCAAACATGTACCCAGCCCCACTCACAGAGTGAAGGCTCAGCAGGTTGAGATTGCCTGGCCTGCTCACCCTCCCTCTGGCTGACTTGTAGGAAAGAGTTTCCCAGCTGGGAGAGGCAAGTGGGGAAGACCAGAGGCTACCACCCCTGCCCAGAAGAGGAGCAGTGCCTCAGAGATATTTGTCCAGGGAGAGAGGCAGTGCATCTCTGAAGTTCTCCCACAAAGAACTGATTTTATTTGAAACAGTGTGGGGACTTGGAGAAACTATATTGCTAGCAAATTGTCTTTAGAAAAAACACAACAGGAGATTTTCAGGAAGGAAGCAGGTGACCCCAGATGGTAATACAAATCCATATAGAAAAACAAAGAGAACCAGTAAGGGAATTTTGTAATTATAAAAGACAGTATAAATGCAGATTCCCTCTTCTTTCTTCTCTTAACTGATTTAAGAAACAATTGTATACAACAATCTATCTATCTATCTATTTATCTATCATCTATCTATCTAGCAGTAATATGCAAATGAGGTTGAGACTCCATAATGGTCACTACCAGTTCAGGAGGAGGGCGCTGGGCACTGAGAGAACAACATGCAGGCAAAGCCCAGAGCCTTAGAGATCAACACAGAGGGGCGCCTGCTCTGAGCCTCAGATGCGGCCGGGGGCAGGCCCCCAGCGGACACACACACACACACACACACACACACACACACACACACACACGGTGCCTGCTCCGAGCCTATGCAGCTGAGGTCACCTGTCAGGGCTGCAAGGGAAGAGGGAAGGCTAGCCAGCCACGTGTACCAGTGCCCATGAGGTGCTTGGGCCCCTTTGATCTGAGGGGCTTTCTCTGGGTAAGTCTCCTGGTTGCTTTTCTGGTCCCTGTCAAGGGAAGGAGCCAGGGGTGGGGTGAAATGAGGCCAGGCCAATCCGTATTTTCCAATTGTTCCCGGCTGTGTGTTTGCTCCAGGGGCTGGTGGGAGGAAGTTCTCCGCACAAAGGCAGGAAGGCAGAGGTGCTCTGTGGCAAAGGTGAAGGCACAGCAGCCCTGGGACAGCCCCGAGGGTCTGCAGCACAGAGCACTGGGCAGGGCAGCCACCACAGGGGCTGTCCCAGGCACCTCTCACCCCTCCAAGGGCATCAACTCTGGAGGTCACAGACGGGGAAGCAGACCCAGACAGATTTTAGACCTGCCCAGGTCACATAAAGGCTTCCAATTCAGCACCTTCTCCACTCTTCTTCAAGTTCACAACCATTGACTGAACACTTTCTATCATGTTCCTAGAAGGTGGTAATCTCTAACCAACTGTGGTTTTAAGAGGGTTCCCTTTTAGATGTACACCTTTACACAGCTTTCTCAAAGAGGCACTTAAATGCCATACAACTCACCCACTGCTGGTATACTGCTTGATGCGTGAATTTCCACAGCAGCTCAACCACCGACACAAACCGTTTAACAAACTTCCATCACGCTGTTTGCCCATCTGCAGTCAACCTCACTCCAGCCCCAGGCAACCACAGGTCCGCTTTCTATCTCTGTAATTTTGTCTTTTCTAGAAATCTCTACCTTCTTTTAAAAAGAAAAAGAAAAAAAGGTAAAACAAACAAACAAACAAACAAACAAACAAACAAACAAAAAACAAGAAGAACTCTGCTGTGCTCAGGCCTGGAAAGGGGAAGCTGACTGAGGGCAAAAAATATGATTCCGTGAAGGGCCTAGAGTGCAGGGCCTGGCCCCTCCTGCTTGAACTTCCAGATGAACAAACTCAGGGTCAGAGAAGCCTGGGGTGTGGTTCAGTCTTTTCAACCGATGCCTGCATCCCAGACACTAATGACAGTGGCAGCAGCAGTGGTACTACTCAGGGCCCTGCCTGGCCACACTGCCCCCCCGCCCAGTGGACACACACACACACACACACACACACACACACACACACACACACACGGCACCTGCTCTGAGCCTCCGATGCCCCCAGTGGACACACACACACAGACATACACACACAGACATACACACACAGACACGGGACGCCTGCTCCAAGCCTCCACGGCATCAGTAGGACATCCCCTGAGGGCTCCCAGACTGTGAGAGGGGACAGGCTGGGCTGAGGGACCCCCACCACGCAGTGCACTAATTTCGTGTACCAGGCCTCTAGTATGAATATAATTGTATTGTAGGGTCTATTTCATACTTAAAAGTAATCTATTTAGCAAAGCAGAAAAAAAGAAGGTAAGTTGTTGCACAGCCTATTGAAATAAAGATATGACCGGTGATATTAATGTGAACTCATAGGAATACAGAGAATCAGAGATTATAAGAAAGGAAGTTACTATAACAAGCACTATACATTTATTCTTTCTGTTTCAGCCTTTTTAAAAGACAGAAAATCAGATGAGTTAATAATTATCAAAATGTATTGTTGGGGTTGTTACATATATAGATGTAATTTGTACTATAGATGGAAAAATAATAGCACTAAATGAATAAAAGGGGGAATAGAGTTATAGGAGTAACTGTTCTGTATTTCACTGGAATTAATTTAGCATAAATTTGAGGTATATTCTTTTTAATTTTATTGAATTTATTGGAGTGATATTGATTAGTAAAGTTATATGGGTTACAAGTATAAAATTCTATAATACATACTCAGTATATTGTATGTTTACCACCCAGAGTCAAATCTCCTTCCATCTCCATTCATCCCCCCTTTTTCTCTTCTACCTTTCCACCACCTTTTGCCTCTAGGAATCATCATACTGTTGTCTATATATGTGAGGGTTTTTTTTTTTTTTTTCTTAAACTCTTCACATTTTTCACCCAATCTCTCAATCCCCCTTCCCCTCTGAGGTTCTGGAGAGTATTGTGCTAAGTAAGTAAGCCAGTCAGTGGAAGACAAATACCATATGATTTTACTTATATGTGGAATCTAATGAACAAAATAAACTAACAAATAAAATAGAAATACTCAGAGATGCAGAGAACAGACTGAAGTACATTTTGAGAAATATATATATTTATATGTACCCTGGAGAACTACTAACAAAACAGCATATCTTAATCAATATCCTTTTACCTTAGGACACTTGTAAAATACAAGCAAACTAAACCCAAAGCAAGCAGAAGCAAAAAATAAAGATTTATGTAAATGACTAGAGGCCCAGTGCACGAAATTTGTGCACTGAGGGAGAGGTGTTCTTCAGCCCAGCCTGCACACTTTCCAATCTAGGACCCCTTGTCCGACTGCCCATTTAGGCCTGATCCCTATGGGCCTGATCCCTGTGGCCTAAACGGGTAGTCGGACATCCATCTCACAATCCAGGACTGCTGGCTCCCAACTGCTCACCTGCCTGCCTGTCTGATTGCTCCTAACTGCTTCTGCCTGCCAACCTGATCACCCCCTAACCACTCCCTGCCAGCCAGTCTAACGGCTCCCCTGCTGGTCTGAATGCCACCAAATGCCCTCCTCTGCTGGCCCGGTCACCAACAACTGCCCTCCCTGCTGGCCCGGTTGTTCCCGACTGCCCTCCCCTGTAGGCCTGGTCCCTCTCAACTACCCTCCCCTACAGGCCCAGTCGCCCCCAATTCCCTTTCCTCCCCTGCAGGCCTGGTCCCTCCTAACTGCCCTCCCCTGCAGGCCTGATCGCCCACAACTGTCCTCCCCAGCAGGCCATTTTGTGGCCACATGGGGCTGGCCATCTTTGACCACATGGGGTTGGCCATCTTGTGTATTGGAGTGATGGTCAATTTGCATAATACCTCTTTATTATATAGGATATTAATGAAATAGATAATGGGAAAATATAGAAAAAAATCAGTGACAGCAAAAGCTGGTTCTTTGAAAAGATCATCTATTTTAGCAAATTTATAGCTAAACTGGCCAAGAAGAAAAGAAAGGAGACTCAAATTACTAAAACCAGGAATAAAAAAGTGGACATTATTATTGACAGAAAAAGAAAGATTATAGGGCAATACTATGAACAACTGTATGGCAACAAATTAGATTAAAAATGGACAAATTCCTAGAAAGAAGCAAACTACTGAAACTCTCTCAAGAAGGAATCACTCATCTGAATAGACTTGTAACAAGTAAAGAGGTTGAAAACTACCATCATTAAAAGCTCAGGCCCAATGGCTTCACTGGTGATTTCTACCAAACTTTCAAAGAAGAATTGATATCCATTCCTCACAAACTTCACCAAAAGTACAAAATTCCTTTAATGTTATTTTACTACATACTTTCTTTCTCTGTCTGAACTATTGAAATTTAGTTACAGACAGAATGCCTCAATAATCCACTGTATATTTCTTTAAAAAATTACCTGGAAGAGTAATTTTTTAAGGAAATACATCTTCTGCTTCCAATTACATAGTCCATTTACTTATATATTAGGCCTCCGCTGATGTCTGTGTAAGCAGTTATCTGTTTATCTGTGTGAAGCACGTGTTTGTGATGGACAAGTTGTTTGTCTCACAGAACTTCATGAGCTGTTTTCCTGCTCTGTGTCTGACTCCCAGTCCAAATTTCCCCGTGACATTTGATTCTGCTTTATTTCCTACTTGTGCTTTCTAGTCACTGACTGTTATCAGCATGTCGTGTTTTGATGCGTGGTCAGTTTCTTCTTGAATACTTGCATAAAAGCATTCAATTTCATTTTATTCGGCTCTGTAAAATGGAACAGGAAGAGAGGGATAAAAAGAATAGGAAAATTCAGCAATGGTCTAGCACCTCCTTCTGCTGTGCACCGTGTGGCTCCAAATCACATATATGCTGGGTCCCTAGTGTCACAATCACCAAACAGGTAGTAAATGCAAACACTGTTGTGGTTCTAAACTCCTTGCAGGTGTTATTAACTAAATTCAATTTATTCTTCAGCACATGCATATAATGTAGCTTTTATGATTTGCATTTCACACACCAGTAAATACAGTTTAAAGATATTTTATGTTTTTGTTTGTCTACTTTCTTTTGATTTTTAGAAGAGAGGAAGGTAGGGAAAGAATGAAAGAAACACCAATGTGAGAGCAAAACAGCCCCTCACATGTCCCGCAGGGATCAAGCACACATTCTGGGCAAAAGTCCTGACCTGGCATTAAACCTGCAACCTTTGGCTGCAGGGAACAATACCTGACCAACTAAACCACAGTGGTCAGGGCTAATGGTTTGTTAATAGCAGTTAATTGAGTCACAAGGCCCTGGTGATTGATTTGGGATTTCCTCCAATGATGAGTCAGTGTGTTAAGAGGAAGATCAAATTAGGCTCATCCATGGCTCTGTGTTTGCAAATGTGGACTGAAATACTGGTGCTTGGAGTCTCCCTTTTTCCTCACTGCCTAGGACATTATGATCAGCCCTTTTATCAATTCAAAGTCTTTGGCTCATGTTTTTCTCACGAGTGAGGAATTTCCTGTGTCAATTAAGGACAAATGGAAAGTATTTGTACTGAACACATGTTCTTTGTAAGTGGAAACAGGAACAAGCTCTTAGTTTCTTAGGAATAGACTAGATATTGAGAAAACAGCTCCTTTCTGTCTAGTATTATGAATTCTGTGCAGTTTCCCTGCTTTTTGGTTTCACGTGAGGCTGTTTGAAAAACTTTCTAGGGACATTTTCTTTGAAATGCTGGGTAGGAGAAAGGTATATTTCCTTTCTTCCCAGTGTACTTGGAGTTGCAGTCTCTAGAATACTTGTATTATTCTAAAAGATAATAGAATCGGGTGATGGCTGCGAGGGCGACCGCTGAGTAAGGGCTTGTCTTCAGCGGTCGGCTCGAGCTCCACCAGATGACAGTGACGTCCTCCATGTATTCCTCCCGCCCTGGTTGGAGAGGATGCCCATGCCCAGCGAGTCCAGCCCCGCGATGGCCGCCTGCTGGCGGGGATCCTGCTGCTCCCACTCAGTCTGCGGAATCTGTGATCCCCCCCCAACCCCCGACCTTGGCGCTGAAGGGGAGGTGGTGGCCCTGGTCAGAGCAGGGCACGCAGGCTGGGCTCGTCCCTGAGCGCTGGGCAGGAGCCTCTCTGGGCTCCATTCTTCATGAAATGGGAGCTCCCGCCAAGCTAGAGGTCCAGGCTCCCGGACCCCACAGGAGCTTACACTCAGTTCTAGCCTGGCTGTAACCATTTCTTCTCAGGAAGATGAAAGACGTTTGAGTTTTCTTTCAGATGAAGGCAACTAACCAAACAACCACTACCTCAGTTTCCAAGTGAGCAAGAGTGAACTCTGTGAAGGAAGTGACAGAAAGTTCAGGATGTAACAAAAAATTGTGCTGCACAGGCATGTTATGGGAAAACAGAAAACATATCATATACCTGCAAAAAGGTGTGCATTGTAAAAGGATCGCATTTGCTTTGATATTCAACCAGAATTTTTTTTAAATATATTTTATTGATTTTTTTTACAGAGAGGAAGGGAGAAGGATAGAGAGTTAGAAACATCAATGAGAGAGAACCATTGATCAGCTGCCTCCCGCACACCCCCCTACCG